GAACTTGGAGGACATTATGCTGAGTGAAATACGTCAATCACAAAAGAACAAATATTGTATTAGTCCGTTATTGTAAAAGCTAAGGAAAGGTTTATCTATAGAAGGAAATTTCCTTTGTTGGTTACCTGGGATGGGAGGGGAGGGGATGGAAATTTGCTAGATAGGTAAGAGATAAGTAGAAATTTGGGTGAAGGGAAAGGTAATATACAAAAAGCAACAGACTACAAAGGTAAACACTTTTACATACACTTCATACTGCATTATCAGTAATGACAAACATTCATTTATGGGTGGATACATAGGTAGACAGGTTAAATGATCAGATATGGTTAAGCAAAAGGGAATATACCCATGACAGATGAGTTTGCCAGATGATATTTATACCCTTATATTTATATGTGCTATAAGAACATCAAGGAGCTCTGGTAGCATAGTGCCTAAGGCACTTGACTGCTAACCAGAAGGCTGGCAGTTCAAACCCACCAGCCACTCCTTGGAAGGTTGGGCATTCCTACTTCCGTAGTGATACTGCCTCGGAAACCCAAGGAGGGGTCGCTATGAGTCGGGGCTGACCCGATGGCAAATAACAACAACAACAACATAAGGACATCATCTATATAATAGAGTTAACAGGGGGTAAAGTTATTATAACTTCTTAACCACAGCCAAACACCTTGTGGGAGCGAGTCACTGTACCTGCAGGCTGGGAACCATGGTCACAGGGTACTCAAGCTCAATTGGCACAACATACCTCATAAAAACATTGTTCTACGTCCTACTTTGGTGAGTAGGATCTTAAAAGCTCACAATTGGCCATCTAAGGTGCAACAATTGTTCTCTCCTTGTCTGGAGCGAAGAAGAATGAAGAAAACCCAAGACACATGGAAATCATTAGTCCAAGGGACTAGTGGACCATGCACACCTCAGCCTACATGACCCTGAGACCAGAAGAACTAATGGTAGCTGACTACCACTGTCAGTCACTCAGAAAGGGATCAGAGTAGGAGATCATGGATAGAGTGGGAGAAAAATGTGGAACAGAACTCAAAATAATTTAAAAAAAAAGAAAGTCCAGGCTTACTGGTCTGATAGAGAATGGTGAAATCCCAGAGACTCTGGGCTTCTCATCACTCTTCAGGCCTGGAATTGAACTCAATCCCATGGCTTCCAGCCAAACAACAGACAGGCCTACAAGGTGAACATTTACATCAGTTAAGTACTCTCCTTTGTTGTTGTTTAGAACAATCAATCACAAGAGATCAGAAGGGCAACCATTGCACAGGGAGATAGCTCAGAGGGCAGGAATGCAAAGGAAAGAGACACAGAAGAAAAACAACCACAGGGAGGAAGAATGAAGAGAACTGTTGCATTATGAGGATTGTGATCAATGTCATGAAATAAAATGTGTATGAAATGTTGCATGGGAAAAAAAAAATATTTTATTGACTTATTTCAAAGACTTATATAGGACAAAGACACTTAACCTAGAGGGTAGAGGTCAGTAAATGGCAGATACTTTTTAAAATGTTTAAATTCTGCTTTTGATATGTGCATGTGAAAAACCCAGTAAGTTATGTTGCTGTTGTTAGGTGCCATGGAGTCAGTTCTGACTCAGAGTGACCCTACGTATAACAGAAGGACATACTGCCTGGTCCTGCACCATCCTCATAGTTGTTGCTATAGTAAGTTAGTATGGTATACTCTGCAGTTTGTACTTGACTCTGATAGTTTTGGATGGCACTTACCAAAGTCATTATCCATTATCAAGTGGATTCCCTGGTCTTGGGGGAACTGGAATATTATCTATAAAACCAAAATAATCAGACTATGACCAGATGAATGTTTTTATGTTTTAACCCAACACAAAGAATCCATCACCACACAATTATGAAGAAAGACAAATATATATATATATATATATATATAATTGGCTCTGCAATGGCAAATTTTGTCATTCTATAGAATCAAAGTCTAATTTACAGAGTTGAGTTAGAGTTATATTAGTCATGGCCCAACTTGTAGAGTGTAATTTAAAGCAGCAGAATGCTCCGTTGGCATAGCACTTTTCATTTTAGAAAGAACTTTTACAAGATACTTCCTCAGTGGGCCCCATATGAATAGTCAAAAAACCCAAACGCACTGCTATCAAGTCAATTTCAACTCATAGCAACCCCATAGGACAGTATAGCACTGCCCCATAGGGTTTCCAAGGCTGTAAATCTTTACAGAAGCAAAATGCCTTATCTTTCTCCCTCATCTTTCTCCTGTGGGCCAACTAGTGGGTTCAAACTGCTGACCTTTTGGTTAGCAGCTGAATGTGTTAACCACTATGCCACCAGAACTCCTTATATGAATGGTAGGCAACATTACAACAAGCTAGGAGGAAAACCATCAGTTTATTTTATAATGACCACAGCAAAGCCAGGTTAGGGAAAGGTTTTTCAAATAGTCATCATGACTAGTCCTTTCCTATCCTGTGATGAGTCACAGGATGGTCATTCAATACAATTTGAGAGTCAAACAGGATAAACTTGCTTATGTCTTTTAATAGGGAAAATTGTAAAGTTGCATCTTATTAAATAAATTAAAATATTGGCACAGTTTCTTTAGTCTCTGAAGGAACTTCTAGAGAATTTATAAATGTGATATGAATATTATTTTATTTTGAATCCAACAGTATTTCTGTCAGATAATTTCAATGGCAGACTCAGTTCTGTAAAGCATGTAGGACCTGACACTGAAATCTAAGCACTCACTCTAATTTCATATAATTCCTTCCCATTGATTGGGAATGATTTCATTAAAAACTGAGACACTGGGTGCATTCCGTCACATCAAAAAGTATTATGTGGCAGTTAATTGTTGTTGCTGTTACTGTTAGGGGCCGTTGAGTTGTCTCCAACTCATTGCAACCCCATGTACAACAGAAGGAAACAGTGCCTGGTCCTGTGCCAGCCTCACAATCCCTGCTATACTTGACTTCATCATTGCAGCCACTGTTTTAACCCATCTTGTTGAAGGCCTTCCCCTTTTTCGTTGACCCTCCACTTTATCAAGCATGATAACCTTCTCCAGGGAATGGTCTCTTCTGACAACATGACCTAGAAAGGTTGTACAAAGTCCAGCCATTCTTGCTTCCAAGGAGCATTATGGCCACACTTCTTCCAGGACAGATTTGTTTGTTCTTTTGGCAGTCCATGATACTTTCAGTATTCTTTGCCAACACCACAACTGAAAAGCATCAACTCTTCTTCAGTCTTTCTTATTCATTGTCCAGCTCTCACATGTATATGAGGTGATTGAAAATACCATGGCTTAGGTTAGGCACACCTTAGTCTTCAAAAAGATATCTTTGCTCTTCAGCACTTGAAAGAGGTCTTTTGCAGCAAATGTGTCCAGTACAATACATCATTTGATGTCTTGGCTGCTGCTTCCATTAGTGTTGATTGTGGAACCAAGTAATATGAAATCTTTGACAACTTCAATCTTTTCTCCATTTATCATGATGTTGCTTATTGGCCCAATTGTGAGGAGTTTTGTTTTCTTTATTTTGAGGTGTAATCCATACTGCAGATTGTCTTTAATCTTCATCAGTAAGTGCTTCAAGTCATCCTCACTTTAAGCAAGAAAGTTGTGTCGTATGCATATTGAAGGTTGTTAATGAGTCGTCCTCCAATTCTGATGCCACATTCTTCTTCATATAGTCCAGCTTCTCAGATTATTTGCTCAGCATACAGATTGAATAAGTATGGTGAAAGGATACAACCCTGACACGCTCCCTTCCTGATTTTAAACCATGCAATATCCCCTTGTTCTGTTTGAACAACAGCCTCCTGGTCTATGTACAGGTTCTTCATAAACACAATTAAGTGTTCTGGAATTCCCATTCTTCTCAATGTTATCCATAATTTGTTATGATCCACACAATCAAATGCTTTTGTATAGTCAATAAAACACAAGTAAACATCTTTCTGGTATTCTTTGCTTTCAAGAGAGATCCATCCGACATCAGCAATGATATCCCTCATTCCACGTCCTCTTTTAAATCCAGCTTGCATTTCTGGAAGTATGCTGTCAATATAATGCTGGAACCATTTTTGAATTATCTTCAGTAAGATTTTACTTGTGTGTGATATTCATGATATTGTTCAATGATTTCCACATTCTGTGAGATCACCTTTCTTTGGAATGGGTACAAATATGGATCTCTTCCAGTCAGTTGACCAGGTAGGTGTTTTCCAAATTTCTTGGCATAAATGAGTGAGTGCCTCCAGCATGACATCCATTTGTTGAAACATCTCAATGGGTATTCTGTCAATTCCTGGAGCCTTGTTTTTTGCCAGTTCCTTCAGTGCAGCTTCAACTTCTTCCTTCAGTACCTTTGGTTCTTGATCATATGCCACCTCCTGAAATGGATGATCATCAATCAGTTCTTTTTGGTACAGTGACTCTGTGTATTCCTGACATCTTCTCTTGATGTTTCCTGCATCATTCAATATTTTTCCCATAGAATCTCTCAATATTGCAACTTGAGGCTTGAATTTTTTCTTCCGTTCTTTCAGCTTGAGAAATGTCAAGTGTGTTCTTCCCTTTTGGTTATCTAACTCCAGGTCTTTGAACATTTCATTATAATTATTGACTTTGTAGGTAGGTAATTAAATTTCAGTAAATATGAAGTTAAATTTATTCAGAAATTTTTATTAAAATATCATGACAACTCTTTAAATAACAGGTGATTCCCTGGGATATCATACAATTTGGCTTGAGAAATCACCCTTGACATGACAAACTTCCTGACACTCTTTGCTTAAGTGTGTCTAACGTGTCTGGCCGAGGAAGAGTACACTGCCTGCATTTGTGAGAAGTTTATGTCTGGGCTCTGGTTCTATGTTCAATATGCTCCCAGCTTGAGTTTCACTTATGTTCAATCAATACTCTGTGTCATACTGAACTGGAAGGCCAAGGACAGTGGATCAAATTTATCACTGGATGCAGGTAGGATGAATTTAAAAATCATTGAAACCATCACATACTCGCATTGTCTTCATGGCAATCTCAATTTCGTGTGTGTTTCCATAGATAATTACAAAGAACCAGTGATGTCAGCATATATGACCCTGGAAGAGGAAGGAATGGATGAAGAGACTACTTCAAGCACATATGCTACAGTGACCACAGAAACATTCACTGCAGATACAAATTCGACTTTCAATGATAGCCCTGAGGAGGCAAATCAGTTAGAATTTATACTAATGGTGTTAATCCCATTGATTTTATTGACCCTCCTACTTTTATCAGTGGCATGCATTGCAAAATACTACAAAAGAAAAAGAACAAAACAAGGTAAATCTTTAGTGTGCTCTCATTTCCAGACAACTACTTCACGTGTTAATGAATAATCAATAAACATAATACCTTTTGTTTCTGCACAGAGTCTTCTAGCCAAGGATCTCAGAGTGCCTTACAGACATGTGAGTATTATCTAAAATCTGCTTGGAGTTGGGGATGGGGTAGAAGAAGGAATGGAAATGTTTTAAAGTTAAGCAACCAAGGACTACATAAATTGTTGTGTTGTTGTTATGTGCCGTCAAGTCGGACTGGACTTATAGCAACCCCTCCTTGGGTTTCTGAGGCGGTATCACTACAGAAGTTGATTGCCCAACCTTCCTTCGGAGGAGTGGCTGGTGGATTTGAAACGCCAGGCTCTTGGTTAGCAGTCAAGTACCTTAGCCAGTATGCTACCAGAGCTCCTTCTACATAAATTAGTAAATGATAAATTCTATTTTTCCAGTGTTTAATAACATCATATTCCTGTGGGTTTTTTTAGTATGCTTTCAGCCTAAATTGAAATTAAAAATATACTACTATCATCTGTGAGTTTCTGGGTGATGCAAATGGTTAAATATATGACCACTAGCTAAAAGGCTGGTAGTTTGAACTTACCCAGAGGCCTGGCAACCTGCTTCCAAAAACGTCACAGCCTTGAAAATCCTGAGGAGCAGTTCTACTGTGCACATAGGGTCATCATGAGTCAGACTTGACTTGATGACGGCTAATAACAACAAAAGCCATCTTTACACAACATCCACATGAGGGATCTGTATAATCTTGGCCAATAAGTCCATGTAACATTCCTAAACCAGGGAAGTAGTGGGGTGAGATCAGGGTTATGGATGGGAAGAATGTGGATCATCTCTCCAAGAAGAGAATTCCTCCATCTATATTTCTGTCACAGATATTGTTTTGTTCCTCCCCTCCAATCCCACCCACAATCACAATTTGATCTTGAAAAGGCCTCATTGAGGCACGGATCTTATTCTCATTAAGGACACGCTAACTTTTACAGTGAAACCACTAGCTGGCTAAAGTGGACTTAATTTTGAAGATTACTATCAATCTAAAGGAGCTCTGGTAGCATAGTGCCTAAGGCATTTGACTGCTAACCAGAAGGCTGGCGGTTCAAACCCACCAGCCGCTCCTCGGAAAGAAGGTTGGGCAATCTACTTCTGCAGTGATACCACCTCGGAAACCCAAGGAGGGGTCACTATGAGTCTGAATCGACTCAACAGCAGTGAATTTTTTTTTTTTAATCAATCTAAAGGAAAATCCCCTAGGTCAGAAACACGCTTGAAGAGTATTCAGTGTTGGTTATAAAACAAAAACCAAACTCACTGACATCCATTCAGTTCTGACTCATAATGATCCTATAGGGCAGAGTAGAACTGTCCCACCACATTTCCGAGGCTGTATATCTTTATGGACTGGTAGCATAGTGCCAAAGGCATTTGACTGCTAACCAGAAGTCTGGCTGTTCAAACCCACCAGGCACTCTCCGGAAGAAAGATTGGGTGATCTACTTCTGTAGTGATACCACCTTGGAAACCCAAGGAAGGGTTGCTATGAGTCGGATCCAACTCCACGGCAATGAGGTGGTTTTTTTTTTTTTTGGTATATCTTTGTGGAAGCACATTGCCTCATCTTTCTGCAGCGGAGTGGCTGGTGGGTTCAAATTGCCAAACTTTTGGTTAGCAGCTGAATACTTTAACCACTGTGTTACCAAAGCTCCAGTTTTGATTATAGGAGCATTAAATACTAGATTTCAGGGTTCTTCTAGATTCAAAGCAGACTTGGTACTTTTGACCTGTGTTGGTAAAATTACTCCAACTTTAAGTTTTTAAATTGAAGGCTTTAAAGTCATTAAAAAAATTACTCAAGGTATGAGGACTTTTCTAATAGATACATATTCATACACTACCTACAATACTCACTCCATATTCCTCATAGCCTCTAATGGGGCATGTCTGACTTTGTGCCTTCACCTGGGTACCTCCTTCCTGTCGTGGCACCAAAAGATAAGAGCTCAAAGGTAAGACCTGAGGAAGAAGCACTGAAGTGCATTTTCTTTTGTGGCAGAGGCTGATATAATAGTGTCCAAGAAAATAGTAAATTCACATACTTCCCCAGTGCTTGAAATTTTCAGTGACCTAATGAGAGTGGTCAGGGGTGCAGTCTTTTGTTAGCTAAAGAAACAACAAAGATAAACAAAGCTGCCTGCCCTCCAATTTTTTTAACCTCAGGGAAAGTAAGACTTTCTTGCCTAAAACCATAGCTCCACAGCTGGTCTTACCTGACTGGATATATATATGTGAGGGGTTGGAGACATGCAGTCAAGTGGTCATGCTCTTTGTTTCTAAGTCCAGAAATCATTTTTTTGTTAAACTTCACTGTGAAAGAAAATCTCAGGGTTCAAACACCGCTCACAAGCGAGAACTGGCCTCATCCTCACACACAGCGTGCATCCTACACTGTAGCCCTACTGGCAGTATTTGCTGCTCCTGGTGCATGTACTGCATTTTCATGATGCCTCCATGCCTTGTTGATGTTATTCCTGCTTTCGGAATTTTCTTCTTGTCTGCCTGGCAAACCTCCACCTCATCTTTAGTCCTCAGTTCCGAAGTTTTCATGAAGTCGTGAGTAATCTTTCCCTAGGCAAAATTAATTACCATCTCTTTTGAGCTCTCCTAGGAGCTCTGGTGGCATAGGGCATAAGGCATTTGACTGCTAACCAGAAGACTGGCGGTTCAAACCCACCAGCCACTCCTCAGAAGGAAGATTGAACAATCTACTTCTGCAGTAATACCACCTCGGAAACCCAAGGAGGGATTGCTAGGAGTTGGAACCAACTCGATGGCAGTGAGTTTGTTTGTTTTTGCTTTTAGGACTTTGATAATTTGTCCACACTTACTGTTCACAGTATTTACATTGTTTTAAGTAGGTTACTTGTCTGTCTTTCCTCTATTTTCTTTAAGGACCAAGCTCCTCTCTTCTTTGCCTTATTAACAACATGGTATTGAGAACAGAGATTCTAGAATTACACTGCCTGGATGGCTTTTGTACTTCCTAGTTCTATGACACCTCTGATTCTGTTTCGTCATCTATAAAATGGAAATAAATCAATACATACCTTTTAGAGTTGTTGTGAGGATTAAATAGACTAATGTATAGAAAGAAGCACTTTAAATAAAAAGTACCTGTTATATTGTAAGTGCTAGTTTATAATTATTATCTCTTTTACTTAACATAGTGCTTAGCCCAATACATATGTCAAAAAAAACAAACTCACTGCCATCGAGTTGATTGGACTCATAGTGACCCCTCCTTGGGTTTCTGAGGAGGTATCTCTATAGAAGTAGATTGCCCAGTCTTCCTTCTGAGGAGTGGCTGGTGGGTTTGAATCATCAGCCTCCTGGTTAGCAGTCAAATGCCTTAGGCACTACACCACCAGAGCTCCTATACATTTAGTAGCTGTTCGATAAATATTTGTTGAATAAACGAGTCACTGAAAAAAATGTTAGAACTTAAAAAATAAATAAATAACTCTTAAAGGTTAAAAATTTATCACCTACGCCGGGGAAATGCACCCACCTACGTAGGTACTGGCTGCTAACCAGAAGGCTGGCAGTTCAAACCCACCAGCCATTCCTCGGAAGGAAGGTTGAGCAATCCAGTTCCATAGTGATACTGCCTTGGAGACCCAAGGAGGGGTCGTTATGAGTTGGGTCTGACTTGATGATAAATAATAACAACAACAACAACCCTAGGGAGATGAACCCCTTAGATCAATCAGCCATGAGACATCACAGGGGCAGCATTCACATAGAGGGAAAGCAGGACAGATAGGAATGCATAAGAAGGGCACAGGGAGGGGGTAGTCACAGGGAGGGGAGGGTAAGAGAGTTATTTTATGGTTGGGGATGGTAATCTGGGCTGTAAAGTCAAATGTGCATGAACTATTTAATGTAAAACAAATCCGCTTTGTAAATTTGCACCCAAAGCACAATTCAAAAAAATGAAATTAAATTTGCACATCCTCTTTAATATAAATTGGCTCATTATTTTTAGTTTGAACATGTCTCACTTTAAGAAAACACAACACAGAAAATTTAGAATTTTAAAACAATTGCTTATCACAAAAATTTTTGATAACAGAGCTTTATTTGATTTTTTCATTTAACAGTCACTTCTTTAATAAAACTATAGATTGTTAATTGTTTAACATTTGTCTCTTCTGACAAATGAATGCTAACAAGTTTGCAACCACAGTTAAGTGAAGCTCACTCATTCATATTTAACATTATAAGGCAAATCAATAAATATACAGTATTGAAATTTGCAAAATTTGATTGAAATGCAATTTTTTTTCCTAGGACTAAAACCACCATACTGGGTCAAACCAGCATTTTGCTTGGAAAGTTCCCAAAGGAATGTTTTGTGGCAAGGTATAGAAACCTGCATGCGTGGGGTCCCTTAGCAAGTTAGGAGTAGACACATTTTTTTTCTTTCCTCCCACACATGAACAAGTTACTGTCAAGTTAATTCCAACTCATGGTGGCCCCATGTGATTTAGAGTAGAACTGTCTCTCTCTATAGAGTTTTCCATGACTAACTTTTCTGAAGTTAATCACCAAGTCTTTCTTTCGAGGTGCCTCTAGGAGGACTTGAACCACCAACCTTTTGGTTAGCAGCAGAGCACTTTAACTGATACTCTCTCCGCCAGAAAATAAATATAACAACTGAGGAGAACTTGGCCAACATTTTCGGAGAGAACACTTCATCTGATCGGAGTTTTGTAGTTCTTCATTGAGCTAGTCCTTTTCATGAGCTGGGAAAGGGAAACAGTGTATAGTAATTTGATGTTCTGCTATCATTCTTTCTGAACCTCCAGGCATTAAATTTGCAGTTGGTATTATTTAACATTTATTAGGTGTCTTGATGTGCTGGGTCTCTCTCAAAGAGCTGCAGGGAAAACAGCTGGCAGTAAACCATCACTTTAAACAATGCTATGGCTACCTGCTGCCTAGTTCTGCTCAGTAAATCTCCAGAAAGAGACAACCGCTCTCGCTCTTTGTTCAGCCTGGCAACAGGGCAAGGAAAGTAGTCTCCTGCTGGGCTCCTGAGTTCCCCAGCCCTGAGGACCCCATTATCAAGTGTACTGAGGAAGGGAGCTGGGAGGGGAGTGTTGTCAGGCTAAGTGGGTGTAATGTAGGAACTGAACAGGGGGGATAAAGTGGATTGGAGGATATGAAATGGAAGGCTGTAGAAGGGAAAATGGAATCAAGTTATGGAGTGGGAGAGGAGGATATGTGTAAGGGCTACATTTGCCTCTTGGTTGTTGGGAAGGGAGTAGGTAGATATTAATAGAGAGATATAGGCCAGGTGGAGTAGAGCTGGGAGGGCCTAATTGCTGAGGACAAGTAATTGGTCTCCCTTCTGGTTTAATGCTCTGCTCTTGTGCACTCTCCCAAATGTTCTGTGGTTGCCATGGTGGCTGGGCCAGGTGTAATGGCCTCAGAGTGGGGAAGGCTTTTTGCTCTGTTTTAATACTAATTACAGCAGCTTCACATTTGGCACATCTGGAGTACTTTTGTAATAGGTTTTTAAACTTTTCCATCATCTGCATGCAGTGTTAGCTTTTGCTCACTGGGAAGCCTGCAGGGAACCCAGATTATAAAGATAAAACCCTGCACTCACATAGGGCTGTGGAGCCACTTGCTCTCTGAGAAATTAGTGGGGAGCTATTAAGCAGAAAAAAGGGAGTGGTAGGAAAAGGGAGTGACAAAACAGGGGGCCCTTATAAGTCTCCTGTGGAGGAGGTTTAGTTGTGTGTAGAGTTTTATTTAAGGAAGTAGTCTTGTACATTTTAGATGAAAAATGTATATAAATAAAAGATTAAATGAAGATATTCCCCTCCTCTAATCTAAATTTCGGAAGAGTCAAGCATCTGCAGGAAGCTTTAGAGTCCTGTGGTTGGGCAGGAGAAAATAACCTAAAGCCTCTGGAAGGCAAGCAGCAGTGGTATGAGATTTACATCTGTGCCCAGCTTTCCTGGATTAGCAATGCCATTAAAGCTTGCCAACCCACAGGAAATTACAGCAAACAGAGCCAGGAGCTCTGTTCCAGGTGCTGGTTGTGTTCGCTCTCTGGGGACCTGAATTTCTGCAAGCCAGACAAAAGGAGGCTTCTGATTCCCAAGGATCCGGAACATCTAACTATTCATGGATCCACTACAAAGTGGTTTGCCTTTGGTTTCACTTCATAAAAGTGGCAATGGACCTAGGCCATTCCTTTCTCAACATCATTGCCTTATTTTTCTGGGTGCGTTGGCTCCCTTTCCAAATAAAGCAGAGCTTGAGGTGGGGGCATCAGGCTCTAATTCTTGCCACACATTCATTTGGACTCTGATCTACATTCAAACTGTTTTGCAAACTGTTAGCTGACTCTCACCTCAGACAACAGCAACACAACACAGGCCTGTTGGAAGTTTCACTATGATAATACCAAGTCCGGAAGACTGAACATGAATTTCACCCCAGTGCTGAACATACAGATTGAGACTTATACATGTATTCAATAAATATTTACTGAGTGCTTACCGCATGCCAGTACTGTGCTAGCTGGATGGGGTGGGGGCGGGCTTGCCACAATGAACAAGACAAACATAATCTTTGCTCTTTTGGAGTTTACGGTGTAGTAGGAGAGAATGATAAAAATAAAAAAATTGTTAATTAATCGATTGCAGATTGTGACAATGGCTACGAAGGAAGTAAACAAGGTGCTGAGCTGAGGATAATGAAAAAAGATAAAACCAGTTGCCATCTAGTCTAGTGTGACTCACTGTGACCCTGTGTTTGTGAGAGTAGACCTGTGCTCTTTATGGTTTTCAATGGCTGCTTTTTCAGAAGTGGACCTCCTGTCCTTTCTTCTCAGGCCCTTCTGGGTGATCTTGAACTTCCAACCTTTCTGTTAATAGCCAAACCTGTTACTCAGTAGGAGACATGGGCCCTCCTTAAGACAGAGGAGGTGAGGAAGGCCTCCCTGATACCTAACAATATGGTGGATCCACCTATGCAGAGAGCAGTGGTCAAAGGAGTGTTCCATGTTGGAGTCCATGCTGGGGTACCCCACATTCTACTCTGGGACAAATGGTCCAGAACTGGGCCATTTGGCTGAAAGGCAGCAAGGAGCAAGTCCTCTTCTTTAGCCTTTCCTTTCTCTCCCTTGTAGTTCCCCGGTAGTACAGTTACCATACTCGGCTGCTAACAGAAATGTTGCAGGGTTCAGCTCACCCAGGGATGCCTTGAAGAGAGAGAGGCCTGGTGACCTGAAAAATCAGCCACTGAAAGTCCTATGGAGCACAGTTTCACCCTGACACACATGGGGGTGCCATGCCTTGGAGTTGACTCAACAGCAACTGGTTGGCTTCTCTGCCTTACCACTGTGTTCCTCCTCTCCTTGGAAATAAGATAGAAATGGATTTCACACCCATTAAGACTTCATTTCTGTAGTCAATGACATGAGACAAAGTATGTGAACTGCTGTATGAAAAGTGAATTTGTTCTGTAAATCTTCACCCAAATCACAATTAAAAAAAAAAAAAAAAAAAAAGACTTCATTTCCATATGGCACTCTGTACTTGTTCAGCTTGGAGATTAATTATTGCTCCTTTAAAATTGTGATTTACTTAAGGTCCTTTGGTTCTTTTTATAAAGGAGATTTCAGGTGTGGTGGAAATAAATTAAAAAAAAAAAAGATTACAGAAAACAAAACTAATATGACTTCATATGTATTCTCTTTTAGATGAACTGGGAAATGAAAACGTGAAAGTGTAAGTCTCTCGCATTGCTTCCAATCCACCTCCGCCCTCATCGCCCTCATCGACAGGAATAGCTGGGGAGATACTTAGACAGCACTGCCCTTCTCACGGGTTTTTGTTTGTCTGACCCTCTTAGTTGGGATTTTCTGCTTCCTGGGCGCCAGGGGACGACCACTAGCGGCCTAAGGGACAATGTTTCATGTCCCCCAAACCTCAAGCCAAGGGGAATTTGGGCAGAGGAGCTGGGCTGGTCTGGTTTATTTCGTCTGTTCAGAAAACAGTCTTTTTCTGACTGCCACCCAGTCCAAATGCATAGTAATTCAATACTTTGACCCTGGGTGTATTTCAAGGACATAGATTCATTTATTCTGATTAAAAACTGCATCACCTGGGAAGACAGCTTGGATGGTAAGCGGGAGTGTAAGGAGATCCGGGAAGAAAGCATAAAGTTCACACAGAGAAAACCAGTGAGAACCACTGGCACTACCAGAGGAGTGAGGCGGGGGTGGGGGGTGGGGAGGTGTGAGTTGAGGGAGGAGGGGAGGAAGCGACAGAGGCGGGGAGACTGAGAGTCCACTCCAAAGAGTGTTCTGGGGCGATGCCTCCCGCTACTGTCCCCTCCCTTTATTTGTTTAGACATTTTTCTCACTTCCTCTCCACTGTGTTAATGCCTATGCTGCTGCTCAGAGCTGGTGGTTCTCCCCACGGCCACCTCCAACCCCATCAACTTTAACCAGAGACTTCTCTCTAGTCCGGTAACTGTGCTCTGAGCCCTGGCAAGGGAAGGCAGTAGGTTTCTAAAGCTGACAGTTCCATTTCTCCACAGAGATATGGTGTTGGAGGTGTGTTGTGTGTGATAACGGTAGCCTGTTGACAGTGACCTCTTGACCTTGGGCACTGATCAAAAAACACACCAAAAGGGAAGTGAAATTAAGCAAGACTAAAGGCAATCTACCTCCGTAGTGATACCGCCTCAGAAACCCAAGGAGGGGTCTCTATGAGTCAGATCGACTCCATGGCAGTGAGTTTGGTGGACTTGGTTAAAGGCTAATAAAGGTGGCAACCCCTCAGAGGAGCCAAAGGTGGGAGACTTTGTACCTTTAGAGGACAAGGCGAGTTCTCTGGTTTCCCTTTGCAGTCCACTGGCTGGGTTTGTGCACCTTCCGTTTTTGAATCAGTGATAGATTTAGGTTTTAGTTTTAACCACTGTTTCTATTAGAGTGCGATAGTCTTGAATATGACGACTCACTAAGTTACGTTGGAGTGTAAGACACTAAGTCCTCAAAGTCAACATTCTAGGCTCACCCCAAATGGAATTCTCTTTCTCTAGCCCTATTTTTGAGGAAGACACACCCTCTGTTATGGAAATAGAAATGGAAGAGCTTGACAAATGGATGAACAGCATGAATAGAAATGGTATGTGGTAACCTGATTTTTTTCCCCTTAATATTTTATTGTGGTTTAGGTGAAAGTTTACAGAGCAAATGAGCTTCCCATTCAGCCATTTATACACAGAATCGTCTGTGACATTTGTCGCAGTCCCCCCAGTGTGTCTGCATTCTCCCCACCTGACGTTTTTTTCTTTCTTAACTAGTAATAGAAGGCTCCAACAGTTTTATAAATATCTCAACCAAATCCTGGAGCGTGACAAAGCCTAAAGCATAACATTAGATCATAGGGGTATGCAGATAAGCTTGGATCTTGTTGTTGTTATGTGTCATCGAGTCAAACCCGACTCATAGTGACCCCTCCTTGGGTTTCCGAGGCAGTATCACACGGAAGTAGGATTGCCCAACCTTCCTTCCGAAGTAGGATTGCCCAACCTTCCTTCCGGATTGCCCAACCTTCCTTCCGAGGAGTGGCTGGTGGGTTTGAACCACCAGCCGTCTGGTTAGCAGGCAAGTGTCTTAGCCACTATGCTACCAGAGCTCCCTGAATCTTAACTGCCCTTAAATACCCGTTTTAATTACTGCATCAATTGTTTCCTCTTGTTTTTATTTCTGTTCAAGTTTTGAAATGTCTTTTTCAAGCAGAATGTATTTTTGCAAGCAAAGAAATGTCTGAGGCCAAATTATCTAGAAAATGTTAACCTTTGGCATTGTCTTACATATTTGTACAACTTAGAAAACTATAATTTTAATCTGTATGTGGATATAAAACTAGCAAATACAATTTACATAGATCTATGCCATCCAGTATGATAGATACTAGCCACACACAGCTATTTAAATGTGAATTAAATAAAATTAAAAATTCAGTACTTCAGTCACTGTAGCCACATTTGAGTGCTCAGTAGCTGCTTGTAGCTAGTGGCTACTGTACTGGAGAGCACAGATACAGAACATTTCCATCACTGCAGAGTAGTCTATTGTTTACAGCATTAATATAGGTGATAATACAAATGTCACAATATAAGTCAATTTCCCACTGCTATCTGGCAGTAATTATTGTCATTAAGCCAATATTTGGACTTAAAAAATGTTGACAGTTTATTCTTCTTTCTCTATTCTCTATAAAATAAGCAAATTATTTTTAATGTCCAGACTAAATAAAATCACAGTTAATATCATATAATTTATATTAACAATTACCTTTAAAAATACCTGGGGATCTGTCAGATTTAACAACCTCTAAAGGAGTTCTCAAGTCATTTGAATTTGAATTAAGGGCTTATCAAAGCTGGTGAAAATGGATTTTCCATAAGATTGCAACCACTTAAGTAACTTGTAAGGTTTCTAACAGTTTTATAATCCAATATTGAAGAATGGCTCTGTGAAGTATATCAGGATAAGAGTGGCGTCATTGAGATAATTTAAAAAGTTGTCTCATTTTTTTGTTTTTAGTTTATTAAAGCAATATACATATATAATAGAATTTGGAAAATAATAATAATGAAAAAAGGATGGAAGAAAAAAAAATTCCATCACTCAAAAACAACCTCTTTTAATATTTTGATATAATTTGTTTTATGCCTGAAATAATTATAATATGAAAATATGATCCTATTACACTCACTAAAACCAGAAAATAATTCTTGGGTGGTGCAAACAGTAAGACCTCAACTACTTGTTGAAAGTTTGGAGATTCGAAACCACCCAGAGGTACCTCAGAAGACAGGCCTGGCAATCTGCTTCAGAAAGGGTACAGCCTTGAATACTCTGTGGAGCAGTTCTACTGTGAACTCGACAGCAGTGCAAATGGACTGGATGGCATCTAACAACAATTTGACAACTAAAGCAATTATTTTGACATAGGCAATCAATTCAGTAGATTTTTTTTTTTACACCAAAAATAATGAGTAGAATAATCCAGGAGAACTCTGATTACTTGAAGAAGGTTCATTGTTCCCCTTCCCCACCTGCTTCTTTTCTATTGTGCTATGGGACTGAAATCATTCTGCAGACACATCAGAACCTCAAGTGAAGGCATGTAGGGATGGATTATCCAGTAAGCAAGGTAAGCACAGGCTCACTTGTCTTTACTCACTAATCTGTAATGAACAATTGCACATGTTTTTCAAAGATGAGGTGAAATTCATGTGAAGTTGTTCACTACAGATTAGTAAGCACATGTAATGCTTGCCTTGTTTACTGGATCCTCTGTCCCTGTCACATAGTGCCTAAGGCACTTGACAGCTAACCAGAAGGCTGGCGGTTCAAAATCACCAGCCACTCCTTGGAAGGAAGGTTGGGCAAGCGACTTCTGTAGTGATACTGCCTCGGAAACCCAAGGAGGGGTCGCTTTGAGTCAGGTCCAACTCTACAGCACATAACAACAACAACAACAACTGTCCCTGTCAGAGACCGTAAATTTGAAAAGAGGCTTTGATTCAGTAAGAAGGTGCTTTGGGGTTGAGAGAAGGACAGATGCCAGCTATACCCAGAAGCAGAATCTGCGAGGTAGTGAAAAAACTGTTCACTACATCTTAGTAAGTAAGCACAAGTAAAGCCATGCTTACTTTGCTTGTTGGGTAATCTGACACCGATTAATCATATTATTCCAATGTCTATTATGAAACATGCGTATTCTAGTTTTTCGAGCAGCAGTGGGGTCCTACTGAGACTGAATAATCAAGCAGTGATGAATTGCACCCTTTCCAACAGGGGCAGAGGCCCGTTAAAGTGTTGCATCTATGCTATTAGTGCTTTTTCCATTTCTACTGCTTGACCATCATTAATCTTTTAACCTCTAGAACTCTCTGGTGAGGCTATTTCTGCCTAGATAACCATACAGATCAGGGAAATGCTATGCTTTGCTATGTGGGTTTTGTGGATTAAAAGTAGAATTTCAGTGACTAACAATAGTTTGCTTTTATTCTCTCCTAGCTGATTATGAATGTTTACCTACTTTAAAGGAAGAAAAGGAATCAAACCACAACCCAAGGTACTCCTAATTTCTACCATAGATTATATGTGTTTAAGGGAAGTGGGATTTAAGACCATAGTGTAGCACCTTTGTGCACCTTTTCTGCGCCTGTAAGTTTTATGTGATAATTTACATGGATGTATATGTGTGTGGTATGGAGAAAAGGAAATGTGAGTTATAGAACATAGAAAGCTATAAATAAAATATCCTAGTGGCCTTTTATCTTTAGAAACAGTATTAATATTTTCTTGTGTTTCTAAAGAAACACTGTTGAGCTTACTTTTGTTTTAGTCATAACATTTCCTAATATTAAGAAACTATAGGTTTGTTTACCTTGGAGAAATAAATAGATGTTTGGTAAGGAAAACAGATGGAGGTGACAGTCTCAAAAGGGGTGACTGTAAACAAACGTGAGTAAAATGAACATTAAAAACACAAAAACACCTGGACTGGATTGTTCTACAAGAGGAATTGAGAATTAGGAAAAAGAAAAAGAAAAAAGCCACCATATTCCTTTCTACCACTAGGTGGCTCTGCTTGATTGAAAGTTTTAGCGCATTAGTCTTGGGAGTTGCTTAGCACTCCATTGTCTCGTGTAAATTACATTATAGTTTGTGAGGGGAAAAAATACCATCTCTGTGGTGTATTTGATCAGAGGATTGTTTAGCCAGGTAGGGGGAGGTGCTCGCAGGAAATAGAAATGATGACTCAGCAAGTGGGGGACTTGCTCCACCGAGTAAATCTGTGATTGTAAGGCCACTAAGTTGTTGGCCTGGATGACCCCGGGATGACCATAGAGTAGAGAAAACCCATGACTGAGATATCAAACTTTTGTTGGAATAAATAGAATAATCCTTCAAAAAAAGAAAAAAACAAAGACAAACCAGTTGCCTTTGAGTCAATTTGAACTCATGGCAACCACGTAGATGTCAGAGTAGAACTGTGCTCCAGAGGGTTTTCAATGGCTGAGATCTTTTGGAAGTACATCACCAGGTCTGTTTTTTGAGGTGCCTCTAGGTGGATTCGAATCACCAAACTTTCAGTGAGTAGCTGAGCTTTGAACCATTTGTAATACCAAGGGATGGCATAGAATACACCTTGAGAGCAGGATAAAACTACTATCCTACCTCCTCTCCTTCCATGTTAACCAGAGGTCCTGTGCCAATCACCTCTCCAGGTAGCAAATATTCCCAGAGTGAGTATACATGTAGATGGACAGTCTCTGGGGCGAGAGTATTGCAGTGGGGAAGACTGATTATCAGGCAGTGATTGGGGCAGTCAGATGTTTCTCTTCCAGACCCTATTTCTGCATCTTTCACCTAGATCTTACCTAAGAAATGTCTGTCTTATATCTCTCCCCATTTCCCACCACCCCAATCAGACTCTGATAAACCTCAGCTCCAATACAGAAATCTACACCTTATTGTGATTTTAAGTCAATATTACCTTTTAGGTATTTGCATGTTAAAATTCATGGCCCATTTCCATGAGATTCCAGATACTGACAAACAGGTGAAACAAAAGAAAATGCCAGGGCAAGCATTCCAAAGGACCGTTTCCTGCTTGCATTTTTTTTCTTACCTGAAAAATAGAACCACTGCATGTGTCCAGTATAGAGCCCAGTTCACTACCAAAACTTCATAAAAGTTTTAACTTCTGTATCTCTGATGGGTACCTTTAAATGATGTGAAATGTCCATGGTTTTTCCATAACTGCCTTTTGCTCTCTCAAATGATTGGCAACATGAAAGAAAAAGATTAAACTTACAGAATTGAGTGGTGGTGAAAACATCTCTAAACTAGATTTTTAGGATATTGAAGGTTGGTCATTGAAATAAGGTCTAACTTATTTCTGCCTATAAGACAAAAAGCTTTACCTTATTTTGAGTGTCACTTTATATTAAATTAGCAGCTCTGGTGGCATAGTGCCTAAGTCATTTGACTACTAACCAGCAGGCTGGCAGTTCAAACCCACCAGTCTCTCCTCAGAAGGAAGATGGGAGAATCTACTTCCATAGTGATTCCACCTTGGAAACAAACCCAAGAAGGGGTCACTATGAGTCAGATCCAACTCCACGGCAGTGAGTTTGATTTGGATTTTTGGTCAGATGTTTGGACAGAGGTGTAATTTCAGCACTATTTTCAGTGAATACGCCTCTGTATAAATGATCAGGTATTTTTCAGTCTCCTAGGAATGACCTTGAGACATTTGAGTCCTCTCCATTACCTGCATAAGTCCATTAATGTTGGTGACTTCAAAATAGTCCTCTTACCAGTCTTTTTTTTTTTTAAAGAATATTGGCACCTTATATCTTGGATCATCTTTTCTGTCATGATTTCATTTCTGTTACTTTCTCTTATTGTCCTAATTGCATTGATAATCAGTGGAATGTTTGCCTTGTTGTTGTTGTTGTTGTTGTTATGTGCCATCGAGTCGGCCCTGACTCATAGCGACCCCTCCTTGGGTTTTCGAGGCAGTATCACTACGGAAGTAGGATTGCCCAACCTTCCTTCCGAGGAGTGGCTGGTGGGTTTGAACCGCCAGCCGTCTGGTTAGCAGGCAAGTGACTTAGCCACTAGGATATCTAATTCAGCACAGAAATAAGATTTCAGGTTTTTTCCCTCTGAGAACTTGTGATGCAGGTGGGAAGCACATTGATCATTGGACTCAGAATAGTTTTGACCTGACTTGGATATTCCTTAGTTCCTTAGATGTCATTTAATATTTTTGTAAGTCATTTTAGCTCTCTGAGCTTCAGGTTTCTCATCTTGAAAAATGGAAATAATGACTCTCATTCTTCTCATTCCATCATTCCATAGGATATGAGAGAATAAAAGCATTTTGTAAGTTTTAAAGCACTGCAAATGAAACTTTTTTTTTTTTTTTTTTAATGCTATGGAAATAATTCTCCCCCTCTCTCAATGGCTGATATGTCTGTGAGTCATCCTTCCTCTAGCAAATGCAGTGTACAGGTGAATTTGATATTTCAGAAAGTATGTAACAGTCACTAAAGGTCAGTCCTAATGCAAAACACTGTCCCATCCTCCTGCTAAACTAAGACTTCTGGAATCCATTCATAGAGTTCAGCCCTCTTTGATACTAAAAAGAAACCCCAAACATAGATTATTACACATAAAGTCCATCATACTTCTAGGAGAAAGGAGTTAACCTGGTCACCATTCTATGCTTAATAGACTGCATTGTGTGCAAAAACTTCAACCTTTCATTGTTCTCTTGTTGATAGGTACTGCTGAGTGGGTTCCAACTCATAGGGACCCTATATACAACAGAACAAAACACTGCCTGGTCTTGTACCATCCTCACAATCATTGCTATTGTTTAAGCCCTTGGTTGCAGCCACTGTGCAGTCCATCTCATTGAAAGTCTTCCTTTTTTTCATTGACTATCTATTTACTGAGCATCATGTCCTTTTCCAGGGACTGGTCCCTCCTAATAACATGTCCAAAGTATGTGAGACAAAGTCTCACTGTCCTCGTTTCTAAGGAGAATTCTGGCTGCATTTCTTGCAAGACAGATTTGTTCATTCTTCTGTCAGTCCATGGTATATGCTACATTGTTCACCAACACCATAATTCAAAGGTATCAATTCTTTTTCAGTCTTCCTTATTCATTGTCCAGCTTTCATATGCTTATGAGGGGATTGAAAATACCATGGCTTGTGTAAGTGCAAAAAGGACACAGAAGCAGCATCTTCTGACCTCTAACTTCACAAGAGGAAGACAGAATCACCACCAGCAGCCCAAGGCTTATTCCTATGAGGCCAGACATGCCACCACCCTCCAGCTTTTTTACCAACTTTGACACCAACCATCCCTCCCCTCCATGGTACTCACTACTTCTCTGCTGGGTTCAATAATTCATTGCAATGGCCATACATAACTCACAGACATACTCATGATTATGGGGTTTATTAGGAAACTAACAAGCTACAATCTAGGTTTAGGAGCACACTCAGGATACAATTCTTCCATCAGGACAGTCTTCCCCATTTCTGTGCCCTCAGACACTCCTCTCTGGCCCTTGGCCTCTCATCCTGGCCTCTGTGGGCCAGGTAAGCCTGCCATTCTATCTCGTGCCTTTTGGTTCCATTGTCACTGTCTCTCTGCTGGGGTGTCTCTTTGCCAGGGCATCTCTTCACCAAGCAGGTCCAGTACAGGGATCTCGGGTGCAAGGATGCGCTCCACTTCACCTCCAGCTCTTCTCTCTTGATGGCAGTGAGATCCCCTCTCTGCCTCTGTTGTTGTTATGTGCTGTTGAGTAGGACCCAACTCATAGCGACCCCTCCTTGGGTTTCCAAGGCAGTATCACTATGGAAGTAGATTGCCCAACCTTCCTTCCGAGGAGTGGCTGGTAGGTTTGAACCACCAGCCTTCTGGTTAGCAGCCAAGTGCCATAGGCTACCAGAGCTCCTTCTCTGCCTCTAGGAGAGCTCATTTTAAGCCTGGCAGAGTGACAAAACTAACTAATCCCAGCGTCAGAGTTCTATACACCTTATCTGTATAGTCCCACCCAGTAATCTGCTGGGAGTTACAAAGACTAGATTAGAAAAGGCATACCAACTAATTCACTGTAGCTCAGTAAGGCATACCTTAATCTTCAAAGTGACATCTTTGCTTTTTAACACTTTAAAGTGGTTTTTTTTGTAGCAGGTTTGCCCAATGCAATACATTGTTTCATTTCTTGACTCCTCCTTCCATGGGCATTGATTGTGGATCCAAGTAAAATGAAATCTTTGGCAACTTTAGTCTTTTCTCTTTTTATCATGGTATTTCTTATTGGTCCAGTTGTGAGCATTTTGTTTTCTTTTTGTTGAGATGTAATCCATACTGAAGGCTATAGCCTTTCATCTTCATCACTAAGTGTTTCAAGTACTCTTTGCTTTCAGCAAGCAAGACTGTGCCATCTCCATATAACCTCAAATCTTTCAGAATTTTGTCTGTATATCCCATTGGCCAGCCTATGTTTGTTATTTTCCCCTGTCCTCATAGAATGGACTTTTTTCTAGAG